GAATGCCTTAACCATCTGGGAATGCAAGCCAGTAGGTCTCAGCCTCATTTTACCTAGCCCCTACTCAAGATGGAGTTGCTCTGGTTCAAATGCCTCTGACAAAAGCATAGCTCTTTTCACTGGGTTTACTACCTTCTGGTAGTCAGAATCTTTCCCCTGTGCAGAGCATGGTTGTCATCTTCTGTACAATTCCTCCACTTTTCAGTTAAGAACCTCTACATAGCCCACTGTCTCACATGAAGTCCTGTCCCTTCTGGCTTTCAGGTTTACTTTTCAGACTTAGTATCTTCTTTTAGACTTTTCTCAACTAATAAAAACTAACCATTGTTAGCATTGATAAAAACTAACCAAATGCAAAGGAAGGCCAGACACCTTTCTTTGCATTTCCTTACAACAGTTTTGAACCCAATACTTGAACATATGCTGAATAACAGTGTGATTGCTACAGAGAGTTCTAAGACATAATTTACAGATGGCAGGGAGGAGATTTGGTGATGGAATAAATGAGGTAATTAGCTCTGGGAGAGGAGCTTGATTGCTGACACCAGCGTTCCTGACTTGAAGAACTGATTGAATGAAGCCTTCACCTACGGTGACAGAAACAGGAACCTAGGGATAGGGTATCATCCAGCTGTAACTGAAATGTAGAGTCATTTTGGGGCTAATTCTACAGTAATTATTGAAACAGTACTGTCATATATACCCAGACCAATCTCTAAGTTTTGGTTCTGGTGTAACTCAAAATTACTCCAAAAATTCTGAGGACAAAAATGGCCATATATCTTATTTTTCTTCCGTAACCTGCATTTTCCTTTTGTGTCCACTCCTGGGAGTTTACACAGCCTGATAGAGATATAGGTCTGAATTCCCTGTCCAATCAGGATAAACCTGGGCTTTGGCGCCTGCAATTCTGCCTCGAATTCTGACTACTACACAGTGTGGTTGTTAACAAGCCCCACATAGACTGCAGTCATGATGATCCTTCCTGGCCAAGCCCCTTCATTGGCCCCCATGGTCCTCACATGGACGGTGGGCATCTTGGAGGGAGGATGGATGGCTCACCTTAGCTGAAGACGCCCAGGATCACTTTGGAATATCCCAGAGTCACAGATGTCCCTCAAGGCATCCAACACTGCAGGCATATGCATCAGAGATAATCTAGTCTCAGCCCCTCCTGCTAAGCCGAAACACCTATCTCTCTGTTACATGGATCTGTCCTCAGGAGTTGGAAAAGTTTTTCTTCTCAACCCCTGAAACACAGAAGGTTCCCTGACATCCCCCTCTTTGACAATAAAGCCAGATGTCAGATTTCCCAAGAGAGGCTTCAATCCTGCCCATCATCGTTTCTGAAGATGGGAGGGGAAGCTAAATCTTGTGGCTCAAAGGTGAATTATCCTTATAAAAATCATCAAGAAAACTTTTCAGTAACTTTTCCCACTTCAGCTTAGGGAAAAAGTCCAAATTTCAACAGACCATCCTTCTATTTTAGATACCCCCAGGGGCAAATTTGTGAAGACTACCTGGAGGTTCCTCTGATGGCACTTGTATATAAAATACATTTAAAGTGCTTCCCTAAGAATGGTGTGAGCCGGCGCTTCGCTGTTTTAGTGGCTCTTTATAAGAATGACTGATTGGCCGGGCGCGGTGGCTCAAGCCTGTTATCCCAGCACTTTGGGAGGCTGAGACGGGCGGATCACAAGGTCAGGAGATCGAGACCATCCTGGCTAACCCGGTGAAACCCCGTCTCTACTAAAAAATACAAAAAACTAGCCGGGAGAGGTGGCGGGCGCCTGTAGTCCCAGCTACTCGGGAGGCTGAGGCAGGAGAATGACGTGAACCCGGGAGGCGGAGCTTGCAGTGAGCTGAGATCCGGCTACTGCACGCCAGCCTGGGCGACAGAGTGAGACTCCGTCTCAAAAAAAAAAAAATTTTAGTCAGAAGAGATTTAGAGATAGATATAGTTTGGATATTTGTCCCGACCCAAATCTCATGTTGAACTGTAATCCCCAATGCTGGAGGTGGGGACTGGTGGGAGGCGGTTGGATCGTGGGGGCAGATCTCTCATGGCTTGGTACCAGTGAGTTCTGGTAAGACCTGGTCATTTAAAAGTGTATGGCACTTCCCCCAAGACAAACCGTCTCTCTTTCTTGCTTCTACTTTCACCATGTGATGTGCCTGCTCCCACTTTGCCTTCCACCATGAGTAAAAGCTCCATGAGGCCTTCCCAGAAGCAGATGCCAGCACTATGCTTCCTGTATAGCCTGCACAACTGTGAGCTAATTTAACTTCTTTTCTTATAAATTGCCCAATCTCAGGCATTTCTTTATAGCAATGCAAGAGTGGCCTAATACAGAGATTATCTAATCCAGGATAAGTCTAGAAAATACACTTTAAAGTAACTAATTTCCCCTCCATGTCAGACATCAGGAATGAATCACAGAACTCTTTCCTGATGAGCCCTTATTCAACCTCGCAATCCTTTCCAATTTAACACACCAGGAAGACACTCCCAATTTATCAGAATTGGCAAGCAAGTTGAAGCTTATTTGCTACCCAGATCTAGTGTGTGTGCACATGTGCACAAGAGAGAGAGAGACAGAGAGAGAGAGGAAAGAAGGGAGGAAGGGGCCGGGCGCGGTGGCTCAAGCCTGTAATCACAGCACTTTGGGAGGCCGAGACGGGTGGATCACGAGGTCAGGAGATCGAGACTATGCTGGCTAACACGGTGAAACCCCGTCTCTACTAAAAAATACAAAAAAAAACAAAAACAAAAAAAAACAAAAACAAAAACAAAAACTAGCCGGGCGAGGTGGCGGGCTCCTATAGTCCCAGCTACTCGGGAGGCTGAGGCAGGAGAATGGCGTGAACCCGGGAGATGGAGCTTGCAGTGAGCTGAGATCCGGCCACTGCACTCCAGCCTGGGCGACAGAGCGAGACTCCGTCTCCATTTAAAAAAAAAAAAAAAAAGGAGGAAGGAAGGAAGAAAGGAAGAGGAAAGGGGAAGTGCTTTATTTGTTACGGTCATATAGGTAGTAACTATAAGAGGCAGACCTATGTGTTGTCCAAAGTGTTTTGATTTCATTGAGAGTTTCTGTTATGCCAGTCGTTAACCTTTTTATTAATTAATGTGAATAGTTTTTGCTTCACAGAGCTTGTATTGTAAAATAAATTCCCCTTAGAAAGCAACCTATAAGTTTCACTGTTGTCCCATATAGTGGATCTGAACCTTATTAGAATGAAAGGAAATTTGCAGCCCTTTAATTTCCAAGCAACTTTTGTATCTATCCCACTGGGAACAGGGCTAATAATCCCACAGACTCACTTACAAGCTGAGGAGTGATGGTGTGACTAAGCTGCAGTTTTTAATGTTCATGTGTGCCTAAATCCCAGATGAACTCAACTCTAAACTTTCTGCTGTCTCAATAGAGAGGCTGAAAGCAGGTCAAGCTCATCATTCAGCTATTTTGGAATAAATTGTCCACTTAGGCTGCATCTACATAATGCTACATCAACTCATTGAAAAATGAAAAATTAGGTCAGCCACCTAGCTATTTTGATATCTAATGAAAAGTCATCCGTGTGTCCCTTTTGAGTTTTAGGCATAAACCAATGAAATCCATTATCTGTAGTATGTAGACACAACAAATACTGTCAAGATCCCTGATCCAATAATAATACATGACACTTAATGGGTACTTTCACATGCCACACTGAATGCTATGTCTTAGCACTGTAAATATATTATCTTATTTAACCATCACAATAGCCCTATGAGGCAAATTTTCTTTTCTCAACTTCAGACAAGAGAAATTAGATGCATATTTATCTTTCTTCTTTATTAAAATATGGATTATATATTTAATAAAGCTAGATATTCTTGTATGCTGTGGTCAATGTAAGCCTGAGGAGTTTCTATTAGAAAATGGATGAAATCATAGGTTCTTGTCCCATACCGCCATTGCTTTGACTTATCAAATTCTTTACAGTAAAAAGTGAATTTAGAAAAACAGCCCAGCGATCTAGAATACTGAGATCACTCAGGGTAATTGAGACCTTGGTGGAGTTAGGCCTCTTTATCTTGAGTCTTCCATTTCCTGACACCTCTTAATGGCTTGAGGCCACAGGGATAGAATGTAGACCCTGTTGGTCTTTCATTCAGCTCAAACCTAGAGGAGCTGTGCAGTTGATGAAAGATGGAGGGACAGTTCAGATGTTTCTACCTGCCAAGATCATCCATAAAAGGTACATAATCCAGGAAAATTATATTACATCTTGCCAATTCTTCGACCTTTTTAAATACACATGAAATGACAAAATTAAACAAGAAGGAGGATGTCTTGAAGGGGAAATGAAGTCAAAAGTTGTCAGTCAATAAGCAATTTAAGAGGAGGGACATGTTAGGAAGCTATGAAAATATACTCTGTCATTTTGCCTTGGTGATAATAGAGGAAGTGGTAGGTTGATTGTGAGTATGCGTGAGTGTCAAGTCATTTTAATATCTAAGGATAAACTCCATCATTTACTCCAACCAGTTGCCTCCTTGAATCAGTAATATGTCCTTATAGATGCCTCTCCAAAGTTTGGAGATCAGCTAATAGCTGTGCACTCCCCTCTTCCTCAACTCTGTATTTTGGACATAGACACATCTACATGACAAGTTTCTTCCTTGGTCAGGGCATGGGAACAGTGCTATGAGTAGAGATTTGTTTTAGCACATAAGGCTTATATGAGATGGCACATAAAGCCATCTCTCCAGGTCCGTGCTTTGGGCATGGGGGTGGGGATAGTGATAAGTATGTGTGCATGCACAGAGGAGTTATCAGGGCCAAAAGATGCAAATGAAAGAGAAGAAAGAGCAAGCATGTAGCACAGAAAGTGGAAATACCACAGGAAGTAAAAACTAGAAAAGAACCTTTTAACATTGAGGTTGATGCCTAAGAAATATTTGGCAAAGATAATTGGCGAGGAGAAATAGACAAAAGTCTTTCTTTCCTTTCCAGGTCAAACCAACTCCCTCCTAACATCTGAGAGATGCAGAAGGTATTGCCCACAGTATGGGCTCCTTTAGACATTTGGAAAACCTTGGCTTTCAGCTCCCTGTCATGAATGAACCAAGGATCAAAATGCATCAGCAAGGTAAGAATGATGAATGCAAACATGGATGTTTAGAACTCAGATGCAGATTGTAATATTGATGCAGATTAATCATCCGGAAAGTCAGAGGGGGCTGCTAATACCACCGTGTTCAAAGAACTTTGTCTCAGCAGCCAGTTTGCTTCAAGTGCAGTTGTGATTCATTTGTCAAGAGATTTAGACCCTGGCTAATGGAAAAAGAGCAGACAGGAAGTACAATTAAGGTTAACAAATAAAAATGTCTTAAGTGCTTTTTCATCTAAAAAAATAGCTTAATAATCTATATATTGATTGAACTTAGTTTGGTTTAACTTTGCCAAATATTGATATCATCTTTGATTCACTGATGCTATATGATGCTACAGTTTTTCCATCATAGGTCCATGTTCTTTTTGGTGAAATAAATGTTCCTTTTTGGTAGTTATTACTCAGTTATCTTTTCTGTATTCACTGTTTTTCTCATCGTGAAGTTCAACCACTGGAGATTTCACTGACATCCAACTGCAATCATAGTCATTGGAGGATGGAAATAATTAAACTAGATTATATTCATATTTCATATCTTTTTATAACTTTATATACTTTAATACACCCACAGCGACAGGTAAAAGTGAGTCAAGATTTCATAAAGAGGCATTTCACATTATGTCTAATTGAAAATGCAAAATTAAAAGTGGGTTTTAGCGGTAAAACAACATTAGAACAGAGGCCTTGGCATACGAATGAGTTTACTCAGAAAAATGCATAAACAAACCTATTGTTTAATATTATAAAATCCATTTCCTTTTATTTTTGTTGAGGCTGAGGAAGGAAAAGGATATTTACTAGTTGTGTAAGCTTGGAAAAAATCTCTTAGTGTTCAGGGCTTGAGTTTTCTCACCTGTGAAATGAAGAGATTGGATTAGATTATGTTAGTATATCCTCTAGTTTTAAATTTCCATGATTGTCCTAGAAATCACAGAAACAGTCTGCACAAGAGCTGAGTGTCCTCAAAGGAAAGAAAGTTTTCAAAAGATGCCTCATCTTAATTCATGATGTTCATTGTTTTTCTTATTCTGTTGTAGTGATTGAAATATCCATGTCCATAAAGAAGAGAATCACTTTCCCTTGGACAGAGCTTGACAAAGTACTCAACCTTTATTTAGTTCCCTAAGTAGCATGGCATATGACATGTGAGAGGACTTGGACATTTCACAATCATATTATCCTAAAGGCAACCATAGCTACCTAAGTGTGCGTTTTTGAGCACAGGGAGTAAGAAATATGTGAGTTTAGAGAGTTTGGCAAACAGGGAAGCCAGCTCATAAAGAGTCTTATATGCTCTAAGAGAGTGGCTTAGATCTCTTAACACTGTATTATGAAGGTGATGAAAGCCATCAATAACTTTTAATGAGGAGAGGGGTAGTAAGAAATAAATTATGTGATTTGTATTTTAGAGAGAAAACTCTGGCATAAAGTAGAAAATGAATGGGTGTAGGGATAGCCCACAATCAGCATGATCGATTAAGATGTATGGACGTAGTCCAGGCAGATGAGAAGAAAACTAAAGCAGGGTCAGTGGAAATCTAGAGAGGAGGGTGAACACAATAGTAGTTTAGTAAGGAGAAGATTAGGGAAAGATGGAAGTCGAAGATGACCTTCAGGTTTGTCTTGAGAAACTGGGGAGATGATGAATGTTTGAATAGAGAAAATAATGAGCTTGATTTTATGCATGATGAGTGAAATTGTATCAGGAATGATCACAGGGGAGGAGTAGAGGAAGGAGGGGAAATGTTAACTTTAGAGCAGAGGGAGAAAAGGATTCCAATAAGAGAAGGTGGAGGCCTCCTAGATGAGGCTTTGGGCTCTCTCTGCTGCCCTTGACTCATTCAGTTGATTAAACAGATTACCTCTTCATACTTAAGGTGTTTATGGCATGGGAGAGACAGAGAGAAACAATCACACCATCAATGGATGAGATGACATCATGATTCTCACCATATTCCTGATGCCACACATGATACCTGACAAATGGTAAGCCACACTATGGTTGTTGAATGAATGGATAAATTCATTAATGAAGTTCTATAGTAAGAGTACATAAAACGTGATATGGGACCATGGAGGAAACAGTGGGCTATTTTTGAGTAGAGAGTCAGATAATATTTCACAGAAAAGGTGGCAAAGAACGGTTGAGAAACAACTGAAGCAAAGGGAGCAGCATTTGTAAAGTCATGTTCATAGAAAAGTGAATCTTTCCTTTATCTCGAGCTGTGGAGGAAGAAGGCGGTGTTGACCTCTATTTTAGAATGGATTATCATATAGGGATCTTTTTTTATCTTAAACGCATTCTTGAAAATATCTCTATTTCACGTTTTGTAGAATAACTATATTATTAGGCTTTGTGCATAAAATAAACAGAAGTGGCATGCACAGTTTCCTCACTTAAATCAAACAGGGAAAATAATTCAACTACGTTATTCTGTCAATCAGTGAGTAAATGATGTAATGATGCTCTTATGTGAACAACAGCATCAACACTGATGAGTAAACCCTGATAATACTTAAAGACTTTACTTTTGGAATGAATAAATGTGGAATAAAGTAGGTTTTGTAAACTACTATCAATTTTTTGAATAAACTGTAGAACAGAACAATCATAAGTATACATCTTTTCAGTCTTCTTCTTTTCCACCTTCGCAGACTATGGTCCAGAACCCTGTGCTACAGTATCAACTGATCTCTTATTGTAATTTATGTATTAAAAGGCAGTATTTCCTAGATTTTTTTGGTCACATATGTCTCCTTCTTTAATCAAACATTGTTTAATATGTCCTATGCATCAAATATAATGTCATGTATCATGAGTAATATCATACTCTAGCAATATGATTTTTTTTTTTTTTTTTTTTTTGAGACGAACTCTCACTCTGTCGCCGAGGCTGGAGTGCAGTGGCACGATCTCGGCTCACTGCAAGCTCGGCCTCCCGGGTTCACACCATTCTTCTGCCTCAGCCTCCTGAGTAGCTGGGACTACAGGCGCCCGCCCCCTCGCCCAGCTAATTTTTTGTATATTTAGTGGAGACGGGGTTTCACTCTGTTACCCAGGATGGTCTTGATCTCCTGACCTCGTGATCCGCCCGCCTCGGCCAGCAATATGATATATAATATTATCATAGTATCAATTTGATGCATAGGTCATATTAAAGGAGCTTGCAGACCAGGAGGAGAAACAAAATTTACCCAAATGAACAATAAGAAGCAATAAACAACCAAATTTTAAAGAAATAAGTTCTCATTTTAGCTGCTTGTCTCACATTGATAACAAAAACTTCATTATGCCCAAGAGCCTGGTATGCACATCTGAGAAATTTAAACTTTATTCACCTTCTGCTGTCATATCTCTACTTATACTCTGATGTTTATTCCAACATAGTTGCTTTTAAGGACACTTTGAGAAGCCTTCAATTCAACAAATATTAAATTTATTGTACCAGTCACCTTGCCAGTTAGTTTGGAGGATTCTGAGATGAAAAAGACAAAGGCCCTGCCCTCAAGGTGATTTATTTGGGAATGGGAAGAGTAGGGGTAGGTTGGGAGCTAGACAATGTTACAAATGACTATGCTGTAGGTGGAGTAAGTTAAGGATTACAGAAGTCAAAATGCTTTGGTGGAAAACAAGAGTCTCTCAACGCAGCAGACAAAATAGTAGTAAGAACTTTCTATGTATTAGGTTGCAGGGGAAATAAAAAGGCAGAGAACATAGCTATTCACAAAGTCTTCAAAGAAATAACATCATGTCAGCTTTCAACTTACTGTTACAGAGCATCGTTTCATATCTTTGAAAGGCCAAGGAAGTCAGTAGTGTGTTTTCCTATCCACTGAGCTCAGGATGCTGGGCAATTGTCCCTCTTGTTTGAAACTTAAGTACAGATGGTCCCTGACTTATGACAGTTAGACTTAATGATTTTTCAACTGTATGGTGGTACAAAAGCAATCACATTCAGTACGCTCCTTGACTCACTATGGGGCTATGTCCAGACGACTTAATCATAAGCCGAGGAGCACCTGTATTTTAGGGGCAGCAAGCAGCCAGATGGTTCTCTTCTGTTTCTGAGGTCGGTGACTGCTTCTGTCAGAGCACTGCTGATGGCTCATCTCTGGCACCTGCCCGTGTCCCCTAGTGTATGGCGGTACCCAATTTCTGTTTGACTTGCCGATATGATTCCCGAGTCAATTCAGTGAATCAACTCTCTGTGGTTTGCATAGTAAGACCACAACTTGTTTCATGCTTTGGGTGGATACCTAAACTGCAAACTTGAATCTCTATTTCTGTAGGGTGGACTCCTAGCTGTTCCAAAAGTTTTGTTAATCCAACTGACACTACTGGTCAGCCTTGGGGGCTCCTGAAGGAAGTTGACAGGTCTAGGAGTCTAGGCCCTGTTCTCTGAGATTCTTATTTAAGAAGAAATAAGCAAGAGTTTTTTAAATGCTCCCAGGTGATTCTCATATGTAGGCAAATCTGAGAGGCATAGAGTGCTGTCCGTGGAAGCCTCTGGGTCCTAGGAACCCTTTCTGCTGTGGTTCTGAAAGAGTGGACTGCTCCTCTAAGGTAAGAGGCCTAGCTTTACCAAGCCCTACTATTCTAGGAGAATCAGCTCGAATATTTTGGTATCAGTTTAAAAATACTATGTAATATTTTACTCACAAGAGCAGTTTGTAGTTTCCCTCAACCCTCCACTTGACAAATATCTCTTGGGCAGCTTATGGCAGCCACTGTGCAAGGTTGATAGGATGTAGCCATGAGAAAACTCTCCTCTGATAGCAAAATTCTACATAGTATGGTAGAAAGAACATAGGCTTCGAATCAGAAAATCTTCCCCGACAGCAAGTACCCATTTCTATATGTGTGAATGAGACTATTTCAGACCCTGCAGCCCCAGTCAAATGTCAGATGTGTGAGGCCAACTGAGTGATCCCCAATAAGACCAGGAGAAACACCCACCCAATACTCAAAATTGTGAGAGACATCAGGCTACTGAGTTTTGGGGTAGTTTGTTTTGTATCAATACATAACTGAAACAGAGACCAAAGCTTTTGCTTTTAACCACCCTTCTAGAAAATGTATATAAAATACATGATATATCCCTTGGCACATAGTAAGTGCTCATTAAATGACCATTCTCATCATAGTTGCTATTTGATCAGGAGGCAAAGCATGCATACTCAAAGAACTCACTAATGGCAATGAAGATAAATGACAATGGGTTAGACAAACATGCAGTGAGAATTTAGGGTCCATTGACTGTGGGCTGGAAGGATAGGCTAGTATTGCAGCAAGCCCTCGAAGCATGCAGGCATTTGAGAAACCTGCAGAAAAAAATCCCATTGTCCTGCAAAACTTTGCCTGGCTCAGCTTATACTTGCTAAACTTATAACCACTGCCCACTTCTCTTTATTGCTCCTTATGTTATTAATGTGAAAGAACATGAGCATCTGCTAAGCACTCCCCAAAGTCACAAAATTCTATTAAAAAACAAGAGAATTTATTGAAAACAACTGCCATGGAAGGAGAAAGTTTAAACAGAACATAGGCAATTACTGGAAGACCTGTTCCCCTGGTTCCCTTGGATGACTTTCTGGAAGGTGCTGGCATATGAGTCAGAGTGCAATCTTATGACAGGGAGAGAGGTCATCAGAGGCAGGATATTTTTTTTCTTTAGGGAAAAAATAAGGCAGATCAACTAAAGTCTTTTAAACTCTCTCAGTAACTGGAATTATCTTGAATTTTTAAAACATCTTGAAATACTTTAAGAGGGTTTCCAGTCATTACAGTTTTGGTATTGCCAAGAGGTTCGTCTAAGTGCCATTACCTTTGAAAGAAACTTAAAAAAAAAAAAAAAAAACCCAAAAGATAATTTAATCATCAAATGGCAATTTGGTCCAATAAGCAGGAGTAAGGCGGTATCAGCATGAATTTCAAAAACCTGCTAAGAGCTATAAATATAGGCTGCAATATTTTGCAATATCTAAATGTTTGGCCTAATGTTGAACATGCTCCATTGTTCGAACCAGCTGTGTTCTTTCACTCTTTCATTTCTATAAAACTAGGATAAAGGCTGTCAAAGCAAACGCGGCAGCGGCAGCAGCAGACTTTCTTGTTGAAAAGTTCTGTGTACATAGTACATAGCAATCTCAAGATGGAACTTTGAATGTTTCCAACCAGAACAAAATCTTCATCTAATTATAAGTGAACTATATTAAGCACAAAAGGCAATTTCAAATTATACTGAAGAAAGTTACATTTTACTCTTTGCTTTCAAAATGCATTTATCGCAATTTCACAAACTAATTGCAAATTCATTTTGCTTAATTTTCTTAGGTTATTTCTTTTATTGCTTCCAAGTGCTCTGCATATTTCTGAACCATCAAAGCCCATAAGGGAGATTTAGAGGGGCTTTTATTTTTTGTTAATTTGTATTTAAAATTGTAGAATAGGAAATGAATCTTTTTTTTTTTTCATTTCTTGTTCTTGGATTAATGTGGTGACCAGTAACCCAGCTCCAGTTATTATAGACACATTCAAAATAGAGGGAAAAATGTTACCAGTGATGAGCACATTTGAGAGGCTGGATTTGGAGAAAGACATTACAATTTTAGAGACAAACTCAAATGGAATTGTATGTAACTGTCTTCCATTCATACCTATATGATTGCAGGCCTTAGTATAACTTTGCCTGAGTTTTTAAACTGAGGCAGCTCTCCATTTTCTACGAAGGTTGATTATCCACTATGTAGATTAACTATGGCAAACGGTTCATGGAAGACTGGACTATTTTGCTCTGTTTCTTGTAATTCTAGTTTGTCTCTCCCAATTACACGCTTTGCCTAGGATAAAACAATTCTAAACTAAACTCTAAAACGACTGCTTTCCAAAGTCAAATACAAATTGCTACATTAAAAAAATCGGGGGGTTAATTTAACCTCCTCTGGCACCATTGGGTTACTGGTTTCTTGTACCATTTGTAGGGATG